TTTTTACTCTCGGGGGCCTGCAGCAAGCAAGTGTCGTGATTGCTGTAGCTTTCTCTACTTTCATTTTTTTGTTGTGCTGTGTGCTTAGCGGAAGGTGCTGTTCTGTACGGGCAGCACCTCACCGCCACACACCCTTCGTCACAGCAACGCTCGACCTCTCTTGGTGTTTTTTTTTGCGAGCGGCCAACGTATGGTGGGGAGCAGGTAGCACCAGCTGAAAGTGGGGGGCGGTAGGGGTGGGCATAGATTCAACCCGTGGATTCAACCCGTGGGTAATTATGGGTGGCAGCAGCGGCCGCCCTTGATTCTGTTACTTGTTTTCCCTGAGTCTGTCTGCAACCAAGAGTGGTGAGTGCTGCAAGCTGCCCTTTTTTTGTAGTAGGAGGTTTGAGTGTTTCGAGGAGGGGTGATACGGAGTTCCGGATGCATGCGACTCCCCTCCCCCTCCCGATATCCTCACTCGACCATTTTTTTTTTTTTGCCGATAATCGATACTTCCTTCCAGGGGTTGAGTGTTGCCCAAAAGCGGAGTCTGCACATCTCTTCCAGGAGCTGCACAAATGAATCCGGACAACATCGTTTTTGTTTTTTTTCGATCCCAACGGAAACGCTGGGCCAATTACAGCAGCTATGACACGTCACAACAACGTCTACACTAGCTGGTGTGTCTTGCCCGCAAATGGCGGGGGGGGAGACGTGGTGCCGATAGAGGCAGGGACCGATCACCGATGGGCAATTGTGCCATCTTACTTGGTCTACACTTTTTCCCCTATCGCATCTATCGTATCGGTGTCGCCCATCGCAAACACCGGGGGAGGGGAGTGCACAAACACGCGTGGTACTTCTGGAAGGACCAACGAACCGACAACGGGCTATCATGTACGCGAGTCCTCGACGGGTGATTTACTACCTCCTATTCCCTACCCCCTCTCCGAGCGGCCGACCCGAAACACCCCATCGTACAAATTGGGTCCAAGGAAATAAAGGAACAAACTATCAAATCCACCAAAGCAACTTAGCGCGAGCGAGAAAGTGCAGAACAAGAGACAGCTTGGTTTCTTTTGTTTCACACACCCACCCTCTACAGTAGGTCTAACCTCTCCCTAAAGACGACACAAAAATATGTTCCCCATGACCTCAGCATGGCGGCCGCGTGTTGTGTGACTGTGAGTGCGACATCTTGTTGCAGCATTGTCTGACTAACAACTACGGAACATCTAAGAGAGCCACGCCATGTCGTTCTTGCTCTTACGGTAGACGAAGCTCGCGATCAACTGCTTCCTCCGTGTGTTGAACCCAGACTCGACCTCGACGTCCTCCGTCGAGGCCGACGAGCCCTTCGCTCCAACCGAGCTCAAGTCCAGCGATGGGTTGTGCTCCCATGCGTTGTGGAGCCCGGCGTTCCCTGCCCAGTTGGGCTCCTCCTCCATCTCGCTCTTGTTGTCGTAGCTGTGAAGCATGTTGTGCAGGATACAGCACGTGAAAAAGACGTTGTCAATGTCTTCCTGCTTGTGGTACGGGATGCTCAGCTTCAGGATCCGAAAACGACCCTTAACGATGCCGAAGAAGCACTCCACGTCCTTCCGCACGCTCTCCAGCCGCTTGGAGAAGGCCAGGTCGTTCTGGTCAATCGGGTACTTGGAGGGAGGGATCAAGGTGACCCACTAACATGAGTGGGGCGAGAGAGGCGGGGAGAGCGCAAAAAATACGGGGTTGAGAAAACGGTGTGAGTGAGGGCGTCAACCGGCAGGGCCTAGTAATGCAGAGGTTACAAAGGTGACGTTGTAACGCCGCAGTTTGCGAAAGGAGGAAACCTTGCCACGAACATTCATATATTCGGCATTTTTTCATCGAACCAGAATCGTTTTCTGCCCCGCGTGTGGCTCCGCTGCACGTGCACGACCTGCCTTTCAGCTTCGGCGTTCTCCCCACATGACCGCTTTCCAGCACAGACAAGGCTCGACTTCCAGCACATTGAAACTTTGGGGGTGGGGGGTGGGGGGGGG